CAAAATTTCTAAACTTGATTTCATTACAATTTTGGTTTTTATAAGAGATTGTAGCCCCTTGTGCCTAACCTCCATTCTGAGAGAAACAATTAAGTTTAATTTTTTAAACTATTATTATTTACAATTTCTGTTTTCCTAATGATAACTATCTTAATTTATTTATTGTTTATTGTGGATTGGGATTAAATTTGCTTTGCAGATTTTATTTTTATTAAAATATTTTTGCATTTAAAATTCTTAGTGTTCAATATAAGTTCAAGAATTAAATCCGAATCTTATAGTAAATTCGATTGGACGCATTAATACGCACTGATGCATAATCATCAAAATATCTCAATATTTCGGAAAATAAGTATTTCCGAAAGAAATGTTTATTAATATTTTTCATGTATTCTATATGTATGAACGTGTATAAAAATATTAATAAATGCTATGTAATGCAGATTAAGTCCCACTAATCTAATTTAAATTGTTCAAAAATATTCAAAGGCGATAGATTATATGAAAATAGCATTCATTAATATTCTCATATATATTCATATATTTATTATTTTAATTAATTATCACAATAATAAAATTTATAAACATTATATATGGAATTTTATATCTGTATGTTTGATAAATAACAATGGATAAAGAATGTTAGTATGTATCAATATGATTGATAAAGTACATGTATTATATTTCTAGAAGGATGAAACAAAATTAATTGTATTAAAGAATGATGAACTTGAGCCTGACGAGTGCACCAAATGTTACACGATAGCAAAGTATATGGAAAATAAATTGCATCGTACACCACAGAATACAATGCTTCTACAATTTTTGAATATTTGCGGTCAACTTAGTTCTTACTCTGATTCCTGTTCAGCCATTGTTATGAAACATTTTGATGTCATTTATAACCATCTGCAGGATAATTTTAATGCGGATAATATATGTCACTTATCAGGACAATGCAGCAGCAAATATCATAAACATGAAAATAGTACAGTAAGTATAATAACACATATATATTAATAATATCTATTTAGCTCAATTTTGTTTTAATATGTATTGTAATAATAGGTTCCACAAGTAGAAATAACACCATTATCAAGTGTAGGCATGGTAGAAGTTGAAGATGATCTCCCGTGTAAGTTGTGTGAGCAACTTGTGGGTCACTTGAAAGATCTTTTAGTTGCAAACACGACGGAAATTGAATTTAAAGAAATTCTCCTAGGTATTTGTAAGCAAACTAAATCTTTCGCCGATGAGGTTTGTATTTTAAATAGTCTTATATTTTTTGTATCTAGTACTAATGGAGATTATTTTTAGTGTAAAGCCATAATTGAAGAGTATTATGTACAAATTTATGAATATCTTACAAAAGGATTGAATAGTAATGTTATCTGTCAAATGTCTGGAATTTGTCCTAATCTTGACAAAACAGTACAAGTAAGGACATTTTGCATTTTATAAATAATAAAATATACTGTCTAGATTAAAATATCTGATTATATCGTTTTATGTTAAAATAGGGACCAATTTGGCCTCTGGTTCCAATAGAAGTAGCAAATGTAGGAATGAAGGTAATGGAAAAGATACAACCTCGAAAAGGGATTGAAGTTACTATTGGCAAAGAATATCCAAAATCTGAAGCTGAAGAGATGCAATTACCTTTGGAAAGATTGATGCCTCTTCCTTTAGTGCAATCTGAAAGTGTTAATGGAAAGAAAGCGTGTACATTTTGCGAGTATTTATTGCATTATATTCAAGACGCTATTACAAATCCTGTAACTGAGGTAACAAGAATATTAAATTTTATGAAATGTGTATATGTAAACATAGAACACAATACATACTTACAAATATATCAAAATTTAAGGAGAAAATGAAAGAAGTTCTTGGAAAAATATGTACAAAGATACCTTCTTTTATTGAAGGCGAATGTGAACAATTTGTAAATACTTATGGGGATGCAGTTGTAGCCATACTTGTCCAGGAAATTGATCCATCACAGGTAATGTAATTTTTTTGTATTTAAAATATAGAGGTCAATAAAAAATACAACTTATTGTGTTATTTAAGGTTTGTCCTATGCTACATATTTGCCCATCAGAAGCATTATTAGACATATGGGAAAAAATTCCTAAAGAGTTTATCATTACAGAAGAAAAAGATAAACCAGGTTGTGCATTGTGTTTGCTTGCAGTACAACAGATTTATAATGCAATCGAAAATAATAGAACTGAGGTATTAATCCGCTGTTTATCATGTTTATAATGATTATTTTTGATTATACAATTTATTTAATGCAATATAATTATTACAGGCTAACATTAAAGCTGAATTGGATAAATTATGTAATCATTTGCCACGTAATTTAGTCGACGAATGCACAGATTTTGTGAAAGCATATAGCGATGAACTCATAGAAATGATACTTACAGATTTGTCTCCCCAGGAAGTATGCGAATACCTTCGTTTATGTGTGTCAATCAAAGATCCTGGTCCAAAACATAACTATATTGCTGAACAGGATGGAGAAATATGTAAGTTATTTTTTGAAGTTATCTTCTATATATGTAAATAAGAAATAGAGTAATTTGTTACAATTATTTTATGACAAAAATATTTGTAAATCGGAAAACTTTAATATTTCAGTAACCAATGAGATACCTGAATATCCATTACATATAATTCAACCCACAAATTCTTTATCCGATACTGAGTGTGTAATTTGTGAATTTGTAATGAAATATATCGACAAAGAGATTGGTAACAAAGAGGCACGGGATAAAATTGAAAAAGTGGTACATGGTGTATGCAATCATTTACCAAAAACAGTTGCCAAGGAATGCAATGACTTTGTGAATAACTATGCTGACACCGTAATAAAAATTCTTTCAGAAGATGTCAGTCCTAAAGAGGCCTGTAGTGTGTTAGGTCTTTGCACCATAAGCATGATAAAAATTCAAGGTACAAAAATAATAATTATATGTTACAAATTTTGCCAATATTAAAATATTATATGAAAATATATACGTAATTTAATTATTTATTATTACAGAATCTATAACTGAATGTGCCTTATGTCGAGCAATTATATCGCAAATTGATAAACTGTTAGGTGATTCAAAAGTGGACGCTGAGATTGAAGAAATTGTTAAGAAGGTGTGCAAGTATCTACCAACAGATAAACAAGATATGGTAATATCTTATTATTTTACGATTTCTTTTTTTTTTTTATAAAAAACCAATATAGCTTGAAACTAAAATTTTAATTTATACAGTGCAACAAGATGGTGAACATTTACGGGCCCAGTATAATAAATATGCTGAAAGATAATATTAATAGCGAACAAATGTGCAGTAAAATGGCTTTATGCTCTTCCAGTGACTATCTTGCAATGTCACTTGTAAATTTACGTGTATCACGATCAATTGAAATCACCGAGTCTAAAAAATGTACATGGGGCGAAGATTTCGTGTGCAAAAACGAAGAAATAGCGAGACTTTGCAACGTTAGTACACAAACCTATGATATTATTATTAAAAATGGATGAATAAGTTTTTAAATTACTGATTTTGAATTAGGTTACGAAGCAGTGCGAAGACCGCAAAAATGGTGGAGTTCAATAATTTTTTCAATTGCGAATGATTGCACAAGTTGCAAATTGGAGGCAAACGTAAGAAGTGAGATCAAAGAGTGATGCGCTATGCTCCTCAATTGAAAGTGTTAGACTTCTGGAGATATTAGCTATAGCTTATTTCATGTTATGAAATTATATATCGATCTTTTTATTAAATCTCTCTAACTGTACTTGGATAATATTGATCTGTGTAGACATGACGAATGCCATGCGATTTTTGTATTTGAACAAAATAATACGCGTAGTTTGCCGTACTTAAGTTATGTTGACGAAATTTCTAATTTTTAATAACATCGTAAGGATCTATTTTTTTCAATTAAAATAAAATGCTGTTTTATACAATCTAAATAATTGTATTAAAAAATATCAATACCGTCTTTCTACGTGTATTTTTTTTTAATATAACTGACCTATAGCAATGATCTGTTATGTTTACTGTGATAATGATAAAATAAAAACATTTGATTCTGTATATTAATTGTATTCTTAAAATTGTATGATTATTATATATATATTTTTTTTAATAAACATTCTCTCTTGCATGTGGGATATATTATCTGGAAAATTTCTACTTTTCTAATCACAATATTACGATAATCTAGAATGTCTGAAAAGATAAAATTTCTAACTGCGTAAATACGAAAATTTTTAGTTCGAGACAGAAATACTATTCTATCGTTACCGCTTAATTCAAACGAAGTTTGTTTTTTCTTAGAATAATGCAGAATAATCTTACGACACGCACATAGGGAATGAAATATCGTGATGACTGGACAATGAAAAGTACGTTCACGTCGATGGATTTATTGTTAGATTACATATAACTTATGCAAAATGAATATTACCGACTGCTGAAGTCATAAATTGTTTTCGGAAACGAAAAACGGCTTTTGAAGTTAAAATAATAATTCATCGTCCAGTAATTGGTGTCTATTACTTAATTTAGAAGGGTCTAGTGTTCACGACTCATATCGTTTGATCACGTGTTCAATCACGCAGTAATCCATGTACAATTTGTATTTGAAATATAATATTGTCTTCTCCGTGTCTATTTTTAAATGACGAGATAAAATATGATGAAAATTTTATTCACACTTGACGCGATTCTAGCTGGTATTTCGCCGCTTTTCCTCCGACAATTTTCTCATAATCGTCATTTAAAATGAAACAAATATATAGAAAATTTGCATAAACAAGAAGGAAAGTTTTCATATATATATATATATATATATTTAAAAAATGAAAATCGTACGTTAAAATATAAATTAAGATAACAATTCGTAAATTATTTAAAATTGAAAAATAAACATAATGCAAATATATAATATATTTGTATAATATTATTTTATTCATGGAGATGTTTGTCCTCTCTTGGGATCATGCAGAAAATTGGACAAAGTTTGCGTGATGCGCACGGGGAAATAAACGCATGGTTGTCGCAATAGCAATATGTGTGCATGCTTGATGTGTTATTGTCGATGAATTTATTGTTGGATTACGTATAAATTGAAAAATAGTTTTTGAAGTTATAACAATTCGTTATTCAGCAGTCAATGTCATTTAGTCTGGAAGTGCTTTTAGTGCATACACTACTCATGCTTTTTGATCATCAACTACTCAGTATAATCTAACTACGCACAATTTGTTGTTTTTTAAAATACAATATCTTCACTACGTTATCTTTGAAATGATGAGACAAAGCATGAAGAAAGTTTTGATCATGTTCGGAGCGATTCTAGCTGGTGAGTTGACATCTTGTCGTCCTTTTCATATCTGCTTTTTCTTTCTAATAATTTTCACATTATATTCTTTGTACTCAAAAATATTTAGTAAATTTAAAAGTTGCTTGTAATTAAACTAAATGTCACTCGCAATTAAAATTAAATGTTACTCGCAAATTTAAATTTGCAAAGTTTCAAATATCGGAATATTGCAAAATTAAAGTATAAATATTACAAATATTACATGCGCTTAACTATCAAATTTTCCAAAAAGCTCACATCAGAGAAAGATTATTGCTAAGTGATAAATAACAGAAATAATGATTAATGACATAAGAATACTTATTTTCAATAAACATCAAGTTGTTATATGTAATGTACCTGTTAGTTGTAATTTCCTATTCAACAATATAACTAATATAATATATGTATTATATTACAATTATATAACAATTATATTATATTGAATGAGAAATTTTTTACAACTAATAAGTTACGTTATATTATGTAACTTGATATGTTTTATAGAGTTAGAATATATTATACTTGATGACTATAGTTAATTTGATTATATAATATGTATGAAAAATATTTCCTTAATATAATATAAATTTATTTTTTAATTTATTTTTTATTGTACTGGGGGCTTAAAACTTCCTTCCTTGACAAATTTGGACTATACATATAGACACGCAGTTAGCACACACTATTTTTTTTATTTTTTTACTTTTTATTATACTTGCTGAAATGCTTGAATACTTAAAAAAAAATTTTAATATTTAAAATAAATTTTTTAAAATTATTTCAGTAATCAGTGAAGTACCTGGACAATCATTACAATCTGCTGATATTGAACCTGATGATGTTTGTATAATTTGTAAAATTGTATTGCAAATTATGGATAAAACTATTAATATAAATGATGACACACGAGAGTTAATTGCAAAGGTTGCACATAGTGCGTGCAATTATTTTCCACAAATAGTTGCCACGGAATGCAATTATTTTGAGAATAAATATGGTGATTCTATAATAAATCTCCTCTCAAAAGGTGTCAATTCTAAAGAGATATGTACTCGGCTAGGTCTTTGCAAACAGATATTATAAATCTAAGATATAAATTACAAGAAATAAATTATAATTTTTGTTATTATTATATTATTTAAAAACATAAATTGTCTACTTGAAATATAGCAACTTATTTAATTTTAATTGATGTTAAATAAAAATGTTGACATTAAATAAAAAATATATGTTTAGAAAACTATCAATGTTTTATATGAAAAGGTTTATTTTAAACCAATTTTAAAAAAATGTTTAATATACGCTACAAACGTTTTATAAATATTTTTATATAACATTTATATATAGCTTTAAAAACATATTAAATTTTTAACATTTATATTTTAGTTTATTATATGATTTTTAACATTTATGAAATATAATATTGATCAAGTATTTTATATAATTTAAACAATATATGAATCTGAATTCCGTTTCTCTATTTGTATTTTTTTTATATATATTTAACTTATAGCAATAATAATTGTTATTTTTAATTATAATAATTGCAAAATAAAAAAATAAAATATTTGATTCCAAATTTATGAATTGTATTTCTAAAAATGTATGATTTATAGTTATATTTTTTGATATATATATATATATATATATATATATATATTTTTTTTTTAAGATAAAGGCAATAACTATGGCGCCGCATAAAAATTTTCAGTTCATCATAGATACAATTCTATCGGTACTTTTATTCATACAAACATGTTTGAAAAGACTTCCTTCATTTAGAAAATTGGATAAAGTAGCCTTGCGTGATACACATGGGGAATGAAAACACGTGGTTGCTGCAATGGCTTAATAATATGTGCGCACACTTAAGCGTGCACGTCGATTTATTGTCGAACTACATGTGAGTTGCGTGAAAAGACGAATACTACCGATTATTGCCGAAGTCATGAATTGTTTTCCGAAACAGTTTTTGAAGTTACAACGATTCGTGGTCCAACAGTCGATTAGTCTGAAAGTGTCGTTCATGACTTTACGCTTGATTTGATTGTCACGCGCTCAATTACGTCGCAACGCAATTGTGCACAATTTGAATCGTAAAATTCAAATTGTCTTTGCTAAATCGATTTCGAAGTGATGACGAAAAGCAAGAAAGAAATTTTGATTGTGCTCAGTGCGATTCTAACTGGTAAGTTAACATCTCGTCACACTTTTTCTATCCGTTTTACTCCCCATAATTTTTAACAATTTTTTTATATATATGCATTCTTTGTACTTAAAATGAAATATATAAGTTTAAATTTCTCAAAAACAAAAAAGAAAATTTTTTAGTGCATTCCAGTATAGCAATAAAAGATATACTTATAAAGATAGATTACGTATATTAAGAATACTTTTGCTACATATTATTTAAATTATCTATTAACTTTTCAGTATATAGACATATTCTAAGTTGTCTTACGTTATAATTCTGTTTTTTTTTTACTGCGTTTCGAGAGCGCGCTTGCAGTACTATCAGTGCATTCTTTATCCTTGTTTTTACGTCTAATGATAGAATGATGTATTAACGAAAACATACATATTTATGAAAACATACTTTCAGAACGCAGCCTTTGTCACATCGATAATCTCACTCTGATGCGCACTTCTTTCTAAAATACTTTTTTTGTTTGGCAGTTACACGCATGTAATATTTGTAATATTTTTTCCTTGTAAATATTGTGACATTTAAAATCTTTATTTACAAGCAATGTTTAATTTTATTTGCGAGCCGGCACTTATAGTCGATTCTTATATTTAAAATTATTTTAAATACAATCTTAAGATGTCACAAATCATTACAGAGTTGTATGTATTATCTATATGTAGTATCTTAACATATTATTTAAGACGATTAAAATAAGAATTGTCTATGATTATTGACCTTAGCTTTTATTTGTAACAGAAGTTTAGTTTTATCTATAAGCCTTTTAATTTTATTTGGATACAATGTTTAATTTTCAGTATAATGACTTTAGATTTCATCGGTTTTCTTTTACTTCTCTATTATGAAATTCTTTCAATCTTCCTTTCTTTTTTTTCCTTTTTTATTATTACTGTCTTTCTGTTTTGATCCCTTTTGATCCCTGTCCTTATATCGCGGGATTTGTTTTTATTCTCATGGCAAACTGTATGTACTGAAAATACTGTATAAACAGGATAGATCTGTTGATTCGAACTTTTAATTTATTTAGATAGAATGTCGTACGATTGTTGTTGGTGGAATATAATATTGTAACGTTACACTAACGATAATAGCTTATACTTATAATATGCTAATACCAATAATGTTTATTATTAAATAATAATACGAGTAAGATATTTCCTTACAAAATGATATTTCAAAATTCTATATTGTTGAGTCAATGATATATATCTATATATCTACGAATACACTAATTGTAGCAGAAATAAAAAATTGTAAATGATGTGTTTAAAGTTTTCTGAACTTAGTACCAGCTCACGGATTTTTCGTTCATGTACGGCAAATTACATGAAACAGTGGATTGTTAAATAAAGACAAGCCAATATTATCTACATTAAAGATTATTCACCTTCAGCACACGAAGCAGATCGGTAAACACCTAATGATTCTTACACTTAAACCCAAAAAAACTAAAGGCAAAGCCTAATTATATTAAAGAATTATTAAACGTTCTGAAGAAATACTGAACTCTGTTTTGTCTGCTGAACGTGTCCTGTTAACATTAAGATTATTATTTTGAAAATAATTTTTTTAACTCTAGATTTTTATAATGGCTAACTTATAAAACTGAAAATTACATGAATGCAATTCTTTAATTTTCAGTAGTCACAGCTGAAATGATCACAACTCATCCCATAGTGCGTATGATGGAGAAAGAACTTCGAAAAGAGGTTTCTTTCAAAAAATATTCATCATCGAGAGTTGATGAAATGCAACTGCCACTTGAATTACTGCTTTATCCTTTGCAATCCGGAAATACTAATAAAACGACAACGTGTACATTGTGCGAATATTTATTGCTAATATTTGTTTATTTTGGAGATATTACAAATGTAAATGAGGTAATAAATATTAAATTTTATGATTCTGCGTATATAATATTATATAAGCTTCATAAATATACCAAAATTTAAGGAAGAAGTGAAAGAATTTCTTGGAAGAGTGTGTAATATAAAAGTACCTACTTTCATTAGAGGTGATTGTCAAGATGTTGTAAATACTTATGGAAGTGCAATTGTGACCACACTTGCTATGGATATCGATCCATTTCTGGTAATATATTTTTGTATTTAAAACAATGAACTAGTAAAATATAATTTATTTAAGGTTTGCAATTTAAGGTTTGTTCTATGATACGTATTTGCCCACCGGAATCATCAATAAATATATGGGAAGAAATTCCTAAGAATTTTATTAGCACAAAAAATAAACCAAATTGTGCATTCTGTTTGCTTGCAATATCGCAGATTTATAATGCTATTAAAAGCAATAAAACTAAGGTATTAGTCTACTGTTTATTATATTAACAATATTTATATTAAATTTGATTATTCGATATAATAATGTTGATGTTTCAGACTAGCATTGAAGTTGAATTGAATAAATTATGTAATCGTTTGCCATATACTTTGAACATTGTATGCACAAATTTTGTACAGACGTATAGCATAGAACTTGTAGGGTTACTACTTGTAGACTTGTCTATCGAAGAAGCATGCAATTATCTTCATTTGTGTGTTCCAACTGAATAATCCTGATGAAATGTAACTATTGTTGCAAAAGGTAGAGAGATATGTGAATTATTTCTTAGAATACACACAAGATAAAATGTTTCGATTTTGACAATTTATTACAATTATTTTTCAATAAAAATACTTTGTACGATAAAAGTATTTTACGATAAAAATAAAAGGAATTTCTTTTTCAGTACTTAATCAATGAAACACAGTATAATCGCAATGAAATACCTGAGTACTCATACTTACATATAAGTCAATCCATGAAGGTAAATTCATGAACGAGTTGCATACGTTTGTGTAATACAAACTGCAAATTGAAAGCGAATCTAAGAAAATGAGAACAAAGAGAATGATGTGCTATGTTTCTCAATTGGAAATATAAGAACTGTGGAGATATTAGCCATAACGAAGAGCCTATTTTATATTGTTAATATATCTTTAAATCTCTGTAATCAAATACAGATTGATCTGTATAGACTTGACTGCCATTGAGATTTTTATACTTAAACGAAATATTATGCGTGATTTACTTAAGTTGCTGTATTTAAGATATCACAATAATTTTTAATAGCTGTAGAAGAATCCTATATTTCTTCAGTTAAAATAATATAAGTTGATATTTCATGTAATTGAAATTATACATTAAATTTATCATTTTATATGTCTTTGTTTTAAATTTAATCCATAGTAATAATCTGTAATTTTTATAATTGCGATAATAATAAAATAAAGAATAAAAATTTATAAATAATTTATTGATATATATATATATATATATATACACATATATAATTAAGTAGCAAAATAGACTTTATGAATCTTCAGAAAATCGCGAGAAAACATTTAACGCGTTATCACTGCATTAAATAGAAGATCCAACAATGTGATTAGATTTTTCCGCCGTATTTTTATAATATGTGGATTCCTAATCGTATTCCTCTCTATCCGTACTTTAGTTTATATTTCTACTTGTCCATATTTTGTTCTATTCATTTTCCTACTTATCCGTATATTTTAACTTAAAAAAAATCTTTAATTAAAACCACGACGCGACATGAGACTTATTAAGGGGACCGGTTTGTTGGTTAATCCAGCGGGATATCTGAAAACTATTCAAGCGATAATTTTATGAATTAGAGTTTCAATTATATGCGCGCAATTAAGATTTAAATGGGATCTTTCCAATCTCATACATATATAAGAAAATAGAGGAAAATATAAAGAAAATTGACAAACAAATAAACAAACTAATTTATACATTATCTTATTATATTCCACATAGTCAAAATTGATCTTACTTTATTCTTTTCGTCATGTTCTTCTTCTTTCTTCGGACCAGATTTACCTTTAATTTTTAATCGCAACTGACTACAGTCTGATCATATTTCAATTAAAAATAGATAAGAAAAGGAAAACTTCTGTTGTCACCATTATTATCGCCGGCAGACAATATTACCTACGTTCGATTTGTATAAGTATACATATGCGACAATCATAAAAAAAATCAAAAAATTTAAGACAACGAGAAATTATTTGAAAAAAGTATTCATAAATTCCATTATTTACATGAAAATTTCGAATGTTTCTTCGCGACACGTATTGTTTTAATTTGGAATATTATTTAAGTTTAAAAAGAACTTTACTTATGGCATTATGTAATGATATATTGATTGCTATTCTAAACAAATAACTTTACTAATAATATATGACATGCGAATATGAGAAGAATGATTGACTGATTGATCAATTTCTTACTTTTACTTTTAATAACAAGCTTACTCCGCATATTGATGCACATTCAAAGCATATCAAGCAAAAACACACAAAACAAAATACATAATCCGAGATTTAAAAAAACTAAAACTTAAAATATTCTCAGATAACCAAGCGTGATTTAACATATTAGACAAAACTAATGAACGAGTTATGAAATTGCGGCAATTTGCTGATATCGGAATGTTATATGCAAACTGGGTTAGCAATACGGGAGTAAATATTACTAGTTTATGAAATTTCAAGATCAAACGTTGAGAATTAATAATGCGAAATGTTGATGGCAAAATGACGGCACACGATGAGTCCGCGTTTTATATATAGTATCATGCCAGCAACATAATGGCAAATTGATGACATGTATATTTTACATGCCATCAAGATGCTATTAACTCACTATCATCAAATTTATTAGAATTCACGTGAGAATGAAATATTTCACGCATAAGAGAGAAAGTACTTTGTCTCTAGTTTGTTGATATCAACAACTGACAGTAATATGACGGTTTCTTGAACTTTATTTGGATATATGGATATTTAATACTGCAATTATAATTAATTAATTAATCGTGTTGCTATAAATAACATACATAAGTAATTATAAAATACGTTTTGATGTTTCTCATTTCATATCGAGATTACTCTTATAATATGTAATATTTGATATTAAATTGACTTAAAAATAAGCTTAATTGACTTAAAGTGATTATATTAATTATAAATATTTTGAAATATTTATATATACATTTGTTCACAATTATAAATATTTTACTAAATATTTTTAAAAATCTTAAAAAAATAATATAAAATATCTTATTTATTTGATACATTATATCAAATAAATATATAGTACGCAATTAATAAATCTAAAATACTGTGCTACACATATAAATATTTTCACCAATAGTAAATAATAAAATTAATTAATTATGAAATACTCACCTAGTGATTCTTCGCGCCGTCATCCCTGTCATCGCCCTGGCTTTTATTTCATTTATTCTTTTATGTATTGCGATTTCTTCGTGGTACAATATCTATTTGCAAAAACAAATAAATTATTAATTACAATTAACTATGATTACAATTTACTGGAATAACAATTGCGCGTTGTTATCATACTTTATTCAATAGTTCCGATATTAATCACGCATATTTATACAATATGAAAAATCAGAGCATATGAAATTATGACACATTTGATATCCGCGATATTTCATAAATAAAACGCATTGGATTGCATTAAAAATGATAAAGAGACTCGTTTTTTATGCGATCAATTTCACGCTAAAAGCGATTCGATAACACAGCGGTAACGCGGCGATGCTACATGCGATGATACATGTTTTGGTTTTCAATCGAACAAATACTGCGAAATGCACGTTCGATCGAATTATCAGCTCACGATTATCGAAATCTATTATGCAATATTTCAGTGAAAGAATAAAAAAGTTATTAAATAAATCTGAATTTCACTTACCTATGAAATCAGTTATTAAGACACCACCTCATCCGAAGCCAATCTGTTCCAAGCTGTTGTGTCCTGCAAATGAAACGTGAACGCCTTAGGATAGCGAGAAAGCTTTGTCTTCGACGCGGACCGCGAACAACTTCACGCGCAAAAAGTGACGCGTAGCGTCGTCTCACTCTTAACTTCGTGTTTATACATTTTCTGCATTTTGAACTATAAATAGTATACACGCATTACATTGTAACAGAATAGGCATATTGATACCATAATTATATGTATATTCGCGGCATTCGTAATAAGAACTGCTTTCAATTATTCACGCAATACACCTTTAATCAAACAAATATTGAGATATGCATTTTAACTAATTATTAGTAATATACGAATGCCAAATTAATATTTCGCATCGAAATTGCAGTTGAATATTGCAAATGAAGAAAGTACAATGTGATAATACAAATTTTTTTTCTCAATTAAACTATACGCTGAAAAAATTTTTCTCAATATTCGTTCGGTCGAATTAAAAGTAATATATCGCGTTAATTTTGATGATGCATGAAGTCGACCGCGCGCGAAAAACGACGCCGTATCGCCATCAATGAAATCGCGGTGGAGACGGGATCGACGGACGACTGATGAGCATTAGCGTGCTATCAAAGCGGCAGTTTAAAAGCAGCGATTTTCAAATATTTCTCGCGTCGCGTGTGAAAATAATAATTTGATAATATTTATTAATTACCTCGTTAGTATAATTCGAACGATCCTTTCGAGCTATTTTCCGTCGTTTTATTCTCTACAAGGATTGGGATATTTCTGGAGGAAAGTCCATAATTCACTCGAAGCCAGGGGTGCGAACTATTTCAACGTAATATTACTGGACGTACTCCTTCCGCTGGTCGAGTCGCAAAACCATAAGAGTGCGAATTACACGCTATTTATATGCGCCGTTAGACCGCGAACCCCACCACTCGCGTGCCAGCCAATGAGCGTAGCGAGTCGTTGTAGCGCGTATTCGAGCGCTCATTGGATCGCGCTAGCTTTCGATTGAAGTATATAAGCGCGATGCACGAAAAATCTCAGTCTTTTTCAGAAGTTGGCACTGCGCGTTTCGCGAGGATAGATAGGCCTATACATCCAGCAAACGAGAATGGATAAATAGATAGAAATTCACAATTGTGTTTGTGTGCACAGAAAAAGCTAATATTATTATTGGATTGAAAGTCATAGAGATATGTTCCATGCAATTCCTATAAATGAATAAAATGTATTCAGAATTGAAAAGCATTCATTTTAACATTCGTGAATCAATATTTCTGAAAATCTGAATCCATTTCAATTCATTTCAATCCATTCTCGTTTGCTGGGCATATTTAGACTGTGCTTTTAATACTTTTACGATATTAGCGCGTATTTAGCATACAGTTCACGTTATATATATTCTAAAATTTCAAATAGAAAAGTGCATATTCTAAATACGGGCTAAAAAATATTTTTTTTCCGAAAATTAAAAAAAACTAATTAGAATAAATAAATGATGGCTATCGAAGAAATTATATGAAAGAAAAACGAACTGTAATGATAAAATGATAATATCATTAATTTTACAAATTGTTAAATGAGCATAATATTTATTATATCATGACGTATTTAATATTTAATAGAACTAAGTGAATAAATCATATTAATATCTTAATTTGAAGAATATATTGTTATAGAACTTTATAAATAATATATATATTTTTATATTTTAACAAAATGATCAAATGATCCACAAATTATATTTTATATTATATATTTTTTAAAGCAATTTAATACATGATTTAGCATGTGACAGAAAGAAACTAAGAGAAGTCATTCCAATCTTTTTCCTGTTACTGTCGAAATCATTCGTACATTACCTCGCCCTTGCTGATCGCCCGTATTCTCTGTGTTATGATTTTATCGACAGGGTCAGAAAATGGATGTAGCCACGTAGTTCCCAAACTAAAAATGGATACTGGCGATAGTGTACGGGCGACTTCGACGATAACAGGAAAAAGGCCAGCATGGCCTCTCTGTTTCTCTCTGTTCCTGTTGCATGATCCGAGCGATCAAACGGCACGACCGCCATATTAGTAAATCGAGCCAAGTTAGCGTCCGTGCATGATTTTTAGCAAGGTAATTGTTCATGGAAAATCGTTTGTATCGTTCCTGTACATTGTTTTTCGTCAATGATCATCATGGATGTGATTTAATCTATTTGTTTTTCGTCACAGAGTACAAGCTGTCAACTGGTGTCTCACTGATTGAGCGCGCCTCACTTCATCGAGATCCGGATTCCCCAAGATGATGTACACAGTAAGGGGCCGCGTCATCGACGCGTTATTTTCTGACCTAATTTTCGAACTCGCTTTCAGCGAGAATGCCAAAGATATTTCGTAATTTTTTTAGCGATTAAGACTGATTAAAAAACTCATCGTTTAATCCAAAGTAGTCCTTCCAAAGTAGGCTTCAAGAAACGTATAATAGCAAGATATTCCCATTTAAGTCCAAAACTTTACTTAAAAAATTTTCTAATTCTAAGGATTAGGAAAATTGGAAGATTTTTCCATCACGAAGTTGGAGTCGTATTATATGACTTCTCTACATTTTTCCAAAGAGTGATAAAATTTTTGATTATGTAATGTTAAATATTTATAGAGATTGATAATTTGTTATTTCTAGTCTCTATATCAAGAAGCATATTTTTTTGTATATGATTTTATCTTTCATGTTCTTTTTGTAGGGAACGACTGCTTCGCAGGACACCAGGTTCAGCGACAAGGAGAAAAAACTTCTAAAACAGATGAAATTTGGAGATTCATTGACACAAAAAGTAATTAATATTTTATACTTAAAAAAAATTTTTTTTTATTTATTTTATAAATATATCTATTGCATTGACAACAATTTACATTAGCGAGAATGTTTAGCAAGATGATTAATACAAAAGTTAATTATTATGAAAATAAAGTTTGTTAAATATCTGACGTAAAGTTTGAATAATTAGAGTACTCCATTTTGCTGTTTCTTTATAGGAATAATATTTGAATCTTTAATGAATATCTTTACAAATGATATTTGAATTTTTAATTGATATCTTTGAATATGTAAATTTTTTTAATCAATATCAATATTAATAATAAAATATTTATTTTTAATTCGGAGTATCAATATATTTAGATATATATATATATATATATCACAGAGCAGTTATATATGTAAAATTACTCTCTGATTTGAAATCTCTGATTTAAAATTAAAATAAAATCTTTAACATATTTGTCATAGGTGGATATGAGCAAAGTGAAACTTGATGTAATTAAGCCATGGATTACAACAAAGATCACACAGATTCTAGGAATGGAAGACGATGTGGTGGTAGAGTTTGTGTATAATCAGCTTGAGGAGAAGGTAAGAGATGTGTCGCACTTAATTTCGAATGAAATTAGATGGTTTTATAAGAGATACAATTTTAGTATCACAGTTTGTGAAAAAGCAGTAAAATATAGTAATGCAATCACTTGGCTTTTTCCCCTCATCATTATAGGAAATCGATAAATATGCATTATTTCAGCACGATGTTTTCAAATAGCAAGAATTTACTATCCAAACTCGGCACATCGTGTAGAGTTTGGATAACACAAAGCAATGAGGCAGATATTCTCTTAGCCTTTTGGCATACTTGCCACATTGTTTTTTTTTTATTTCCATAAGTATCATCGCCATTCAGTAATATATTTCATCGTTCCTCGTTTTTAATCAACCTATGTATCCCTTTCCAAGCATATCCACTTTCGACAAAAAAAAACAGAAAAAAGGTTAAAAAACTGATTTGTAGCTGATCCTGCCACATTGAACTGTGCAAAGACAGTCTTTATCATATGTGTTTGAATTCCCCGTTAGTATAAGTAGAGACCGTTGGTGGGGCCCAACCCTTTTGTCCAAATGGCATTCGGATGTGCTCCTCTCTACATCCGATTGGCCGCCTTTCTATCAGCCGTCAACCCTAGTGTCAGCTGTGGCAGTTGGTATCTCAACGTCACCTTAGAACTGCCGACAAATCTTCAGCTTCAGCAGTTACGTCGCCGTCGCTGCCGATCATCGCCATGACTACGCATCGTTGACACCATCAACATCACGAGACATCATCGGCATCGGGAGGCGATACTTTCATCACGTCATGTTCCTGTCTCGCATCCATCACATGAGTCTGCAAATGTCTACAAGTCACCTGCTACGGAGCTGCATCACTTCCATTCATGTAGCTGCCTCAACCGAGGTAGTTTATCGTCGAGCCGCGAGATTTCGCAGCTTTCGCTCAAGGAGTTTCAACTTCGTGATGGCATCGTTTTCTCCGATCGTCCCAAGGTGGCATCCGCGTGTCAATTTGGGCTCTTCGGAACTTTCGTCTACCGCAAGCTACGATTCTCCGTTGGAACCGCCAATGTCAAACGCCAAGAGCAAGCTCGAGCGTCAACCTGGCGCTTACTTAGCACCAAAACTCAGTTTGCGATGGACTTCGATATTCTTCCGGATGTACTGTCAATCACGCGTCGGCATGATTGAGGCGAAAACGGCGCCCGGAGGTATCCCTACACATGGTTTGACTCTTTGCCACAGGTTGGTGAAAAGGTTGATCCTTTTATACCACATTATCTCCGATTTTCAGGCGGACATTTTCGCCAGATATTTAATATATACAGGCTTCTCTCTCGTTTCAGCACACGCACCTTAGCGGTGTAAATATTAAAATCGATGATGAAGGGTGACGAGGTATCGGTCTATTTTCTGCTACTTACATTTAACATAATTCTTTTTTCTCTTCAGCATATAACTATTTAATGCAGGTACGAAAGAGTACGATCGGCAGCATCGGTGGTAAGGCTTAGATATAGAATGATAAATATCTGCTTTTTCGAGGGGGAAAAGCAGTTCATATAATAGAATAGAAATAGAGATTATATCGATTAAAATTGCAGTCAAAATTTAATCTATTATTTTGATTTCGTCGTGAAAAATCTGCACAAAAATTTTTTGTTATTGTATATGGAGAATTAAATTTGTACGTTGTATATTTTACAGTTTCCTGACCCCCGAAAAATGCAGATCAACTTGACAGGCTTCCTGAACGGTAGGAATGCCCGTTCTTTCATGGGTGAATTATGGGACCTTCTGGTCTCAGCTCAAGAAAGTGTTACGGGCATTCCCGAGGCTTTTTTGCAGCAAAAGAAAGATCAAATTAAAAAGCGTTTGGTAATTATTAGTTTTCACCTTTGTGTAATAATCGAATATCAAAAAGACTTCTAAGCACCCGCGCGCGCAACACGATGTTCAATATAACTATCTAATAATATTGCAATTATAATTTTTATATTATCAAATATTTGATACATTCATATATGTGAGACATGATAAATTTTATTGTAATCGCTCTTTTTGAAAGCAGTTTTTATAATACTATTTGCAATTTTGTAATAATTAATTTTTTCGTAAGATAAGCAAAAAAAAAGATAAGCATCTGACAAAATGGGCTCCAAAACTGACACAGTAGATAGTAATGCTTCCTATTCTACTATTCCTGTTCTTTTTCTTTTACAGGAATTATCTGTACAAAGTATCTACAAATGTATATATATATATATCTTTTCTAGAATCTTTTCATTATAAAATATATTTTATATATATCTTTTCCAGAATCTTTTCATTATAAAATATTTTTATTGACTTATATGCATATTTATGCTGTTTTTGTAAGATATAAATATGTAACGCGATAATTTTTCAAGAAATTTACATATATGCACGATTGCCTTCAGCTCCAATAAAGCTATTTGATATTATAAAACAACATTATAAAGATTAAGTTAGCTCATGATCTGTTTTACAGATGTAGCGGTTTACGTTAACCCCAATTTTAAATTTTAAATCACATTACAAAAAAACTATAAGAAAAAATAATATAAATAAAACTGATTTAAGAAACTACAAGCATTTAAAACGACGTAATATTATCAATAATATAATCATTATTATTTAAACTACGTAATTTGCAAAAGAATATCATAAGAATTTTATTTTCGCATTCATAGAATTCATTTTTAGCTGATTTAGTATAGAAATAAGCCACAAATATACGAATTATGAGTTTGTACTTCTTTAATTAGCTAAACAGATCATGATTTTATTAGTATCAATAAAGTATAATAGTTAGTTTCTGAGAAATAAGGGAGTGTCGCTTTAGGAAATCTATGTTAGTATCAGCGACTCCTTTATATAAAAAATATACAAAACGATAATCACATATCTCTAACTTATATGTACAATAATACAAGAGAGTTATACAATAAAATATTTACTTTTAATAGTGAAAATCAAGAAAACATACGTAGCGTCTTCTACAGTTTAAATGGTGGCTAAACTAAGTGAAGTAGTAGAGTATCATAAGAACCACATACAAAAATTTATAAAAATAGGCTGCCATCTATAGCAACTAAAAAAACTAATTGTAGCAACTTGCCCCGGTCTCCCCTATTTAAAATTGAAATGTACGCATAATGTATATTCACTCATAAGTATACTCACAAGGGAAAGTTACTCTAATGTCCAATTAGTTTGAAAAAAGTAAGAAGTTATATATAATAATATCATACCTTTTATTAACTAAAATGTGTGTCATTAGTTAGCAGTGTCTCATTATTTATTTATCTGTACAAAAAGTTTCATTTGCAGTGTTGGGCAAGTTAACTTTTTTTTAACTAACAAGGGAAGTTTCATAATTGTCCGGAATCAATTTGATTCTCCAGGGCCATGCAAAGAGTTTTGGGACCCTACTGCAAAAGTAAATATGGGGCCCTAGTTTTTCATAAAGTATTAAAAAAGCTTTAAAGAATTCAGAAAATATAAGAAAATAAAATAATTAAAATTATATTTATTTATTTTACTATATATTATTATATATATGTATGTTATATATAATAACATTATACAATATATATACATATATATATATATATATATGTGCATATAATTATTTATACATACGTATTACAATTTTCTTTGTATTATCAAGAAACACAATTGTATCCTTTGCGCCAAATCAGGTGCAGTAAATATTACAATGCAATATTGTTCGCGGTATATATTTAATCTAATTGTGCCACAAAAAGTTTAGTAACGAAATCGACAATTTATATAATTTTTGATGCCTTTTATCTTTTAGAAGATCATTGGACCGGGATCGCGACAGGAGGAGAGACCGAGTGCGCGAAAGG